CTATTTGGAACTCGTCAGCTGGATGTACATGCATCGCAGAGTTGATGTTCATTCTGGGACTCAAACCCAGTACCATTCGCTTCAAACGCCATCGTGTTATGCACTCAGCTACTGAGTCCTGATAGCCACTTGCTTATGCAATGGGGTGAATTTAAACTCACTTGTTATTGTTTTTGCTTGAATCTTCCGATTGCGGTTTAAGATTGAAATTGATCAGTCTGTTACTGGCATATGTGCATACTGTGTGTATTACCTCAATATTGCTTTAATTCACAAGCTCTATAAACAATATCGAGGCAATATGCACAGTATGCACATATGCCAATAATAGACTAATCAATTGCAGTCTTAAACCCAAATGGGAAGATTCAAGCAAAAACAATACCAAATGAAGTCATATGACTGATTTAAAATCTTAAGTAATATGAGCTCATCACCCTAAATGAACATACATTTTTGTAAACTAACTACTAAGAAGTATACACATTCGATTGAATATGTCAAACTGAATGAATAAGATTACACAACGAAAATGGAAGTCAATCAATTAGTTGCACCATTTAATCAACAACAAAAAAAACATCGTAGAGAAAAATGATTATGTTCAGGAGTGAATGAAACGTTGAAACAATCTAATTTTCACTACTCTATCGTTCTAGCTTGATATTACAAAATCTTGAAGATTGTAATCTTAAAGAAAATGAGTTCTATCTAATTGTTATTATGTATGTGTGCATTCACAAAACTCTACTAATGACATTTTCTTATAATAAATTCAATTTATTATTTATTACTTAAATGACAATTAATGACTAAATGATTAATTTATATTCTCTATATGTATATGTTATTATTATTACTTCTTATAAAAACAATGTATAACATAATAGCAATTGATTAAGTGGATCATTCGAATAAAAGTAATTTTATTGTTGACTTAGTTGCCTATTTTATATGTGTGTGTATGTGTGTTTCTGACAAAGGTATCACAATTTGACATCGATTGAAAAATTACATGTTTGGTAAATGGAATTCTCTTTTTTTTCTCTTTGAATAATAAATAAAATTAACTATTTTCATAGTTAATATCAGAAGGGTTTTTTTTGGGTATTATAGTAATTTCAATGGTTGAGATCATGGAAAACCTGGTCTAGCTTCAACTGATTCATGATCTCAACCATTGATATTTTCATAGTTGACAAAGAATAGATCATTGATCACTGAAATAAGGATACATTTTAATTGATGCAACTGATTTACTGGGTATAAATGTGTTTTATAAAATGTACTAATTAATACAAATAAAGACGATGGTTCCAAAGTTCACCTTAAGCTGATAAAAACTGGAGATGTACACAACATGATTCGCATTTAATAATTTAATAGTAGCGAGTTCAAAGTGCAGTTTTAAAGCTCCAGGTTTTAGATTTTATAAAATTTTAAGTGTTAAATGCTATAAATCACTAATTCTGAATATAGTTCGTTATGAAGGCTCACTTTAATTAAAGAAAACTAGATCTAATTATCAATAGAGATAATTGTTGTCATGTTATTAAGTTCACTCATCTAATTTTAATAGTCATTAAATAAGGAAATCAAAAAGTTTTCAAAACATTTCTTGATGTGAATACAATTTAATTTTTAAGCAATGTATTTGAAAATAACCAAATAAATCACTTATAAACCGATACATTCAAAGCAATTTTCAAAATATACAATTCATAATAAGCAAAGATGAATAGTGACTAGCGGCGGAATCCGGGACGTGCGTTTCGTCCTGCTTGGGACTCGTCAGCTGAATGTACCTGAATCTTAGAGTCCTGGATTCCACTGCTAGCCACCATCCATCTTTATTATAATACTCGTGACTTAAGACAATATTGAGGCAGTCTGCACAGAATGTACGTGTTAATAACAGACTGGTCAATTGCAGTCCTAAACAACGATGGGAAGAATCAAACAAACAATACGAACATACAATTCATGTTGTTGCTTTCCTAGTCAATATGATTATCAACCCAGATGCATAAATCAGTTAAATAGAATATAATTGTTTCTGTGACATATGAAGGATATAGCTTGTGTTCGTTCAAAAATGTTGTTAGATACCCCTTGAGAAGCATTGCTTGTACGAAGGAATGTTGGTTCTTGCTACCCAATCTATAAAGTTTATTAACTTGATGCTTTAATATTTGTGGCATAATTCAAATATTACAATCAATTTAACGAGAGTCACTATTCTCATTCAATGGTCACAGGTTCATTCACCATTTAGTAAGAAAACCTGAAAAAGTTTTATTCACTAATTTATATTGTGCAGCTCCATAGAAAAAAAAAGATCATCTCAATTGTTTTTGTATCCCCACATTTTGTTAAATGTTCAATAATCAAAGTAATAAATGATAATAATTGTTGTTATTGTTTTATTTACAAGGCGTGTTGCATTTTATAAATTTTTATTAGTAGAAATAAATCTACACAATAAACCTTAGACAATTTAACTGGAACCTCTAATCACTTGTCTAATTTACACATATGTGTTTTGGTTTGTATAAATCCCATCTAAAAAACTAAGCAAAATAACAAGATCATTCAAATGACTCTATAGAATTTATTTAATATCCTATTATCTTGTTCTATATATGACTTGTTACATAAAAAGGAATTTATTAAATATATTCATAATTTAATAGTTTCTTAGGATAGAAAATACCATCAACATACTACTTACATAAAATATCAGTATTCTTGTATAATTAGGAATTTAATATTCAGTTAAATCTTATGCGAAATTTCTTGTTTTGATTTATACCTGTATACCAGTTGTTTCGATTATGTCAACTAAAAAGATAAGACATTAAAGCTAATAAAAATTGTTGTTGTTAAGTTGTTCAATGTTCTTTATTCTTTTTGTTTAACTGAATTATAAAAAAATAGAAGAGCGGAATGTAAAAAGTAAGGATAAAGAATGAAAAAAAATAAGGGAAAGAAGGAAAGTCTTAATTTTAATTTTAAAGGTTATCTTTGAATGATTATTTCAAGTTGAACGGTATTCATATGAAAATTGTACTTTATTTGGTAAAACTCAAATATTTCCAGATGATATTATCATTATGATGTAATAAAGTTACTGAAAAGTGTTAAAGAAGGAAATATGAAAAAAATCTTCAATTCATATTATTGTTTTTAGTGACCAACACTTTTTAAACTATCTGGATTTAGTGATTTTATGAACAAAGCAACATATCTGTGAAACTCGATTTAAATATTTTTTTTATGTCGTAACATGATGTAATAAATAGAACAGTATTTGTCAAACACTGATGTTTTCCACAATGTATGTCCTATCCACTTCCAGCGTCTTTTCCTATCTTCCTCTTCAGCTCGAACCTGGTTTGTTCTCTCCCACAGTAGGTTGTTGCTGATGGTATCCGGTCAACGGACATTCAGTACCTTGTGTAAACAATTGTTTATAAATACCTGTACTTATTTGATGATGGTTGTAGTAGTTCTCTAAGTTTCAACTCCGTACAATAGAACTGTCTTGACTTTCATGTTGAAGATTCGGCCTTTGATGTTGACTGACAGACAGTTGTTTTGGGTTCCATACCTTTTTCAACTGTAGGAATGCTGTTGTTGCTTTGCCAATCATTACGTTTATGTCTGAATCGAATACTTCTTATTCATTGATGATACTGACCAGACAGGTATGTGAAAGTTTCCATCTGTTCCAGAGTTTCTCTATCAAGTGTGATTGAGTTGGTGTTCTCCGTGTTGTATTTGAGGATGTTGGCTTTTCTCTTGTGTATGTTGAGGCATCTACAGAATGGTCTGTGTGTGCTACATCGATGTTCAATGGGACTGGTCAATTGAAGAGTTCATCAAAGTGTTCTAACCATCTGTTCCTCTGCTTTTGATCTCGGTGATTATCTTACCTCGTTTGTCTCTTTGACTTACTATGTTGCCCTATCAGTTTCCCTATCCAGTTGTAGGTTTTCCCTCTGTCGTTGGTGTGTCCTTCACGTATTTATGCTTGTAAACTCTAATGTTCTATTTAATTTGTTCGTTTGCTCCAGTGTAATCAGCTTGTGCTTTGACCTTCTCTGTTCTTGTTTGACTATTGTTAATTGCTGACTTCATGTTCTTCTCTTCTTGAATCCAAAACAGAGTTTTCATAGACACCCATTCCTCTTCAATATGCTTGTTGCGGCTCACAACCTCCTGATACGTTGGGGTTAGTGCTTTTTGATATCTTTCCAGTTGTCCTCCATGGTAGTTTCCTCTTCTTCTTTGAGTAAATCTTGTAAAGCTTGTAATCTTTTGCTGAGAGTTATATTGAATTGATTGACTTTGACAGTATCTGGAAGGAAGGCTGTATTGAACGTTCGTGATGCTGCTTATTCAGCTGTTCAGTGCTTCTTTAACTTCAGTCTCATCTTGGCAACCACCAGGTAGACGGTGATCTGAAGCTATATCAACTCCTCTCCCGGTTCCTCTGTTGATTTTCTGAATTTGTTAGTGATGCAAATATAGTCGATCTAATTCGCTGCAGTGTGATCCAGTGATACCCATGTAATTTCCTATATGTGTTTGTGTGTGAATGTTGTACCACCTATAACCGTTTTTTTAATGCACACAAATTTGTAAATATGTCACCATTCTCGTTCCTTTTTCTCAATCAGCCCGTGTCGTCCAATACCATCTTCATAACCGTTGTTGTCCATTCCGACTTTGGAGTTTAGGTTATAGCAACTCACGTGCAATTGAGTTTGTTCACATTTAATTCGATTAAGTCATTTTGTTAACTTATTAACGAACTGAGTCATCCGTACAACAACAACTTATCTATGTCATTATATCTTTACTATTGTTGCGAATGTATGAACATGTACGCTTGAGCATTGCTTACTGCCTACGCATTTATTCACGCTGCTAGCCTTACCACTAACCGCTTAATTGATTCGATGATTCATTCATTTCACTATGTATATGTATATCCATGTTATTCATGTTCATTGCTCTCTCTCGCTTATCTGTACTCGTTTACTCGTACTCGTATTCGCTGACTCATTCGCTCGCTCGCTTGCCTGCTTGCCTATTGGCACAACCCTTTCATCCTGGTTTAACGCACCTGTAATTTTGGATATATGTATGTGGTCCCATAATAAACGTAATCAACACTTTGTATTCACCTTCTGATTAATATACCGTTGGAGCGTTATCTAGTGACGAACTGTATACGAAGTTTAAGGATTATATTGAATACCGACCACCACAAGGTTTCCATTCAGAATGGTCAAGTGCTTTCCACAGACTTCTGTACTGATTATTAATAATATGAATTGATTTACGTATTACCTGTTTTATACTTATCATAATTCTTTCTTTCTTTTATGAATGGAAAATATCTGCATTTCTCAATGAGCAGATTTACTTTCAAAATGAGCGTAACGTTAATGATAATGGTTATTTTAAATCACCGTTTTATACCATTTTGATCAGAATTATCATTATAAGGACATTACTTTTCCACATTGAACTATGGTAAGACAATAATTTTAGTCAAATGGTTTGTTGTAAACTGATTTTTTAATTCATTTTCAGAATGAAAAAAAAAACAGCTAACCAACCCCATCATCAATGGATTTCACATGTTCAGCTTAAATTTTATCTTGTAAGACATCATCTAGATTAAATAAAGTTAAATACAAGTAAGGTTAGTATCGGATGAACTTTTAAAATTGGAGTGAATTATCTAGACTCACTTTAAACTTTGGTACTATTAACGTATAGTCTAATATTTATGTTTCTTAATGTGAACTAATATATTTGTTGAGATCATGAGTCAATTAAAGCTAGACCACCATTGAAAACCTGGAATCAGTGAACGGCCTACTGTACGACTCCAGTGCTTCCAGGTTTTCCATGGTGATCTAACTTCAACTGACTCATAATCTCAACTATTGAAATTACTATAATATCCACAAAAACCCTTTCTGATATTAACATATTTGTGTTGAAAGTAGATAATCCATCTTATTAGTAAACAATTATACTGATATGTCCTCGCAAGACTTGGGTCTATTAACCACTTTTATTACAGAGCAAAGCATCCGATATTATATTTTATAAATTGTGTTAATCAATTTTTCTACAGCTGCTACTATCATTCAATCAAATGTATTTCTCGTATAGTCAAACTGATCACTTCGAACTATATTAAACATTTCTATGAATATTTTGTTAATATTCCCAGAAATATTTCAACACAACACACCAAATATAAGAGATATAAACTGAATAATTATAAATGTGTCAACTGAAGCTAGACCATCGTGGAAAACCTATAAGCACTGGACGACCGTTTTGTCCTATTATGGGACTACTCAGCATTGCGCATCCACGATCCCGCCTAGCGAGAATCGTACCCAGGACCTATCAGTCTCGTGCGCGAGCGCCTAACCACTAGACCACTGAGCCGGTCGGCATCCAACGGTGTTAATATCTAACTTCAACTAATCCACGAAATTGAGCGACACATCCACCAATGTCTTCAGTGAGCTGATATCTCACAACAGACCCGGTTGAACTCCACTGATCACTGCCTCTCACTAGAAATCCAGGAAATACCTCTTGAATCCAGTCACTAGTGAGCATATAATATCCACAAAACCCTTCTGATATGAATTATAAATATCACGAATAGCATATTTTAGATCACCATCTTCAATTGCATAAAATTCTATTAATGTATTATCAATGATTTTGTTCTGTTTTCTAGAAGCAATCAATAAGTTAACTATATAAGTATATATGAGTCATTTATATGATCAATTTATCATTCATCACTAATACACATAGATATAAGCTACCTTTGTTTATAGCTAAGTAAAGACTTATTCTTACGGTACAAATGAGAAAACTATGTGTAATGATAAAATCTTACCTATTTACTAATTTTTTTATTTTATCGATGAAATTTTTTTGGCTTATTTGACATATTCTATATACTGTTAACCCTATTTGTTTTTTGGTCTGTTTGTTGATAATCTGATTTAAAAATCTTAATTTAAAATATGACAATCCATAATAGATGAAAAGAGAGAGAGAGGGAGAGGGAGGGAGAAAGAAAGTTATATGTAATTTAATTTGTGTTTGTTTCTATGTCACTGTGTGTGAAATATGAGCGTTATATAAGATGATTTGACGAGATGAACATCATTTCTCTGATTACAATAACATCAACTAATCTATAATATAAAAACAACAACAACAACACACAACTGACTCCCTTTTATCCAAGTTGTGTTTAGTTAGTTTTTTTCTTCTATATATATCGAGTTGAACAATCAACATTTATCAGTTTTATATCAGAATTATTTGCATTTGTATAAAGTTAAATAAGAATTTAAGAATCAACCAAGATGTTATGTAAAAATTTTTGACATAGATTAAAGTATACAAAATTCATTTTATGTTTAATGTGTTAGATGATTTCGAGTAAAATGATTGTCTTTGTAGGATACAAATCCATCTAAAATATTGTCACTAAGTTATTCGGCTGACAACTAACTGTTTGTAGAATTAGGGTATTTACAACTAATTAATCGATTATAGATTAGTGATTAATGTCATATTTGTGATGATTGAATTCTATTGATCAAGGTTCAGTGTTTTCATTAGGGTTTCCAAAAGACTACTCTCAATAAACTAACATTTTTACATATCGTACATGATATTCAGTTTCCAAGGCTAGTTGCTACCTTGAAACTTGATCAATAGAATGCAATCGGCACAAAGAAGAACTGGATGAAAATGACTTTGGTCGCTGATGAGTGATCAAACAATTGTTATGTATAGTTTTGATTACGAACTAGGAATATAATAACCATTGAAAACCAAAAATCGTTAAATTACTATTTTGTGTTAGTTTGATGCTTTTTAGAAGTTGACTGTAACAGCTCTAAATTGAGCTGGGCTTAGAACAGTACGTTTCCGAGACTACTGAACTGCCGAAAAAAATGTACCCATTTTTAAATTCAGTTAATTTATAATGAAGCATCATCCACCTCGACTCGGATATCATAGCTTTTCACTACAATCTCAGCGAATAAATATATTAAGCCAGGTAGAAATAGTGAACATTGTAAGTTTCATATAGCAAAAAAGAATGGGTATAAGTCAAACTCACTTCCGTACAAAACGCAAGCTGAAATTTAAAAACAATAGATAATTGGGTTTTTGAGACAGCACAAAAATATCCTTCAGTTATTCACATAGTTTATAGTAGTGGTGTATAACTTTACCAATCGTTGTTCCCTTGCATTTACCTCACCGGAACCACTCCTGCCCAAAGTAGTTTGACATATTTCTTGTTGTGCAATAAATTATACTTAATGAAGTCCTTGGTTTGGTGAATGTTAGACCACCATTGATAACCTGGAGGCACTGGTCGGCCGTTTTGTCTTAGTATGGGACTCGTTAGCAGTACGCATCCATGATCCCGCCCAGTGGTCCAGAGGTTAAGCGTTCGTGTGTGAGACTGAAGATCCTAGGTTCGAGTCTCACATGCGAGATCGTGGATGCGCATTGCTGAGGAGTCCCATACTACGATGAAAGGGCCGTCCAGCGCCTTCAGGTTATCAATGGTGGTCTAACACTATTCTATTCATGATATCAATCTAAAGTCGAATATGTAAATGCTATTCTGTTCATTTTCCTGGACATATATGTAAGTGTTTTTTAACAGGTATATATGTGATCCGATTGTTCGAAATGTAATGTGCTAATATATCACACAGTTCTGATAATCTTCGTCATCTTATTATTCATAGTAAATAGGTATAGTTTCATCTTCTCCAAAATAAACTACTTGATTGTATGTTTTAGTTTTTTGACTTGTTTATTTTACAAACATTGCTATCTAATCATTACCTTGATTGTCTAGCTAAAATAAAAAGTTCCAGTTTAAGAGAAGTTATTTAATTAACTGAATTTTGTATACCTTTTCTAAACAGTCGCCAATTATTATGTAACAGACTATTTAGAATATGGTAATTGTGGAAAGAAACTTGTTCAGCTATAACCATTTAGATTGGAATTACAAGATTAGTTTGTAGTTAAGGTTTTTCTTGTAATATGCTCATTTCCTGTCATCAAGACAACACCCTAAATTGATTTAAATTACATATAACATATATGTATGCCTAATACAGTTTGATATTTATCACTAGTATATAGAAAGGACGAAACTATACTCGTTTGGAATTAAATGTCAATGGTTTAAATAAAAAATGAGTTCTATTATTTAATCTAAGTGTCTTGAAAGACATAGAATATCGTATAAGAAATTTCGTCTAAATTTAATTGAATAGTTTCATAGTATTTGGGCACCGAGTTGATGTGAGATATTAAGAAATAAGATTTTACTTGTAAAATCTCAGCGAATAAATTTGAAGTAAATCCAACGTTTCACCTGGCGATCTAGTTCAAACTTTTTCAAGGAAATATAATCAAACATTAAAATTATCGAATATTGTTTATAAACTAAAAGCATCAAATTTTAATCTGATCATTTGAATTTTCCTAGACCAAGTAATCTGATGAATAGTGTTTCACTTTCAAACTGCACAGTTTTATCCTTTAAAAAGAAGACGAGGTAACTGATGGATTATATATATATATATATATATATATATATATATATATATATATATATATATCTGCAGGTATCTACAAAGATTTAACTTAAGCGGAACTATTCGTATAATCAATAATGATTCTCTATGAGGTGAAACCATTAAAATCCTAATGAAGCGAAAATTTCAGTTATTAACTGATAAAATTGGATAAAGGTTCCCTGTCTTAAGAAGAGTTCAGTTTAGAAATGTAGAAAATTAAATTCTTACACTGAATGTATGTTTAGCAGTCTATGAACTAATTAAAAGTAGAGCCAATAATAGGTTACTTATCAAAATTACTTCCAAGAATTGACCAATCTTCCTGATAAATTTTAAATAATTATAATTCATTTTGATGGATGTTTTCAAAGATATTACTAATAAAAATTCTCAGTATTATATGACCATTACTCTTCAATAAGATAAGGTTTTATCAAATAATTTGATATGGACAATTTATTTAACAAGTTAATTACCACATCTTCGAGAGCTACCCCATCAAGTGTGATTGGGTTGGTGTTCTCTGTGTTGTATCTGTTGATCTTGCTTTATAAATGTTTTATAATTCGGGAACAAAAACACATTACTTTTTGTCAATCTACTTCTTTGTCATCATTGACTTTAATCATGAGACTATTTTGAACATGTAATAAACGTTGAGTAGGTCCGTTTGTTTTAATAACTAATGCTATCGTGTTTAGGTTGTAGATATCTAACGAGGATCTAGAAAATAAATGAATTCATAATATTCAGATATGATCACTCCTTTCTCAGGAGCATTTTCTTTTGTTTTAAAATCGATTTATTCTAAGCCACTTAGTTACTTTTATTTTAAATTTCATGATATTGGCTTAAACTTAATTGAAAATAATATTAGTACTGCGGAGTTTGTGGAAATATTTGAGTCTTCGTAATTTAAATCACGAAGTGACATTAGCTAGATCACAACTAGAAACCATTAGACACTGGCTCGTTCGCTTTACCGAAAGTCTTCTCTCCGGTCCGTGATGAGATTCCCAAATCTAAAGCCTCATACTAGGACAAGATAGCTGTTTAGTACTTTCTGGCTATCAGTGGTTGTATATCTAAGATCAGTTTGTTATTTAAATTGAAAAAATGTGTCAAGTGATTGGTCGGCAAGAAACTCTGGACATAACTTTCGTGATTGTGGACGGTTGTCCGTAAGACAGGTCTAAGATATTTAGGAAGCCGATGCTCTCAATAAGATCCAAACACGCGTAACCCAAACATATGGTCTGAGACGTTGCTATCAAGCTATTCGAGGACCAGACAGGACTTCCTATTAACATGAACCATTCACTACAAAACTTAGGTTCAGTGTTTCTTGCTGATATTATCTATCCACCTTACATCTTGACACGACACCTGTAACATTAAGTCATTTAGATTGATGCCCATATCACAACTTTCGTGGTACGACTCGGTTACCACTAAGGAATATACAAATATGACGTTGGTCACCACTCATTGGTTAATTAATTATGAAAGAACTTGTATCACTCAACAATTACCTTTGATTAGTTATTTTCAATGTTTCTTTTCTTGTTATTGTTTCATCTTCATAATAGTACTGCAAGTGAATCCGTCTGATGACATAACTGAATCAACAAAAGTTAAACGGCTGAATAAATCAAAACTTTCCAATTCCTTCAAATCACAATCATTACATAGACGTGGCGATTTAATTGAATCCGATCAAAATGATATCATAAAAATGAAAGCTGTATTAAATAATACAGCTTTGCTACCATGTCGTCCAGATAAAAGATTATTAACAGAAAATGGTGTAGACGAGAATACTAAAGGCACTGTAAGTCCGTTCAGTTTAACATGAATATGTTTTTATTTCTACCTATAATATATAAGTATCGGTCGAAATGATTGTTAATCAGTAATATGACATAACTTTGATGTTATCATTGAAATCCCTACAGTGAATATTTGCAAATGCGGAGTATCTTAGGGATCATAGAAGTTAGGTATCTTGAAATATACCCCGAAATTGTAGTAGGTATATGCTTCTCTAATCTAGAAATTTACCTGCGTTTACAGCCTAATACAACGTAAATGTATTTGTGTGAGAATGAATCCAGTATGGTTTAGATTGGGCGATTATGTACACTGTCTGAAATAGAAAGATAGGCTTTTCTTCAGGATGTCTTGAAAACCGTTTTAATTTCCTTACTAATTTGCTCCATAGAATCACTGCTTTGATTGTAATCTAATTTTTAATAAAGATAGAATATATCAATTACAGGCGAAAGGATTATTCATTTGATATATTGACCATTAATCTCTCTAGCCACCTTATCACTACCAACCAAATAAGATGTTCGTATACTATTCTAAACTTCAACGAAATATCTTTCGTGGATAAACACCCTACAATGTAGACAAAATGAAATTTATGGGTCACTCATAAAATTCGATTCATTCTAGGTAGCTTTAAGTTGTCAAGGTAAAACGATTGGTTCCCAATAACATATTCATTTATGAAACATTTGATGGATTGTCAACCAGTAATTCATATGAAAGAAGAATATGCTCTTAAAATTTTTTAGAAAAGTAGTTTAGCTTAGATTGATATCATGAATGGGTCGATGTTAGATCACCATTGGAAACTTAAAAGTACTGAACGGTCGTTCTCTTCTAGTATGGGACTCCTCCGCATGTGCATCCAGGATCCCGCAAACGAGGTACGAATCCAAGACCTTCGGTATCGCTCACGGACGCTTAACCTCTAGACGGCTGAGCCGGCCGGCATCCAACGGTGTTAATGTCTAAGTTCAATTAGTTCATAAAATTGCACGACCATCTTCCATTATCTGAGGTAGATACCTGTCTCTACCGGACACGGATTAGCTCCACTAGTCACGGCTTCTCACTAGAACTCCAGGAAATACCTTTAAAATACAGTCACTAGTGAGCACATGATAATTATCAGTAAGGAATTTGGGAGATAATTGAGTTTAGAATGATATCATGAATCGATCAATTTTAGACCACCATTGATAACCTGGAAGCATTGAACGGCCTCCCTTAGTTTAACTGGAATTTTACAGAAATCGTTAAGTCAGCTAAACAAAAATATTAAGATAATACTGTAATATGTTGATCACTTTTTTGAAGATACGAATTTACTTCCTTAATAATACCATGTATTCAAATGAATGTTCAACATATGGTAATAAAAAAACACAACATATTCCTAATCTAAACACTATTGATAGATCGCTTTCAACTCAACAATATTAAATAAATATACGTATATATAAACAAGGAAATTCAATTTAGTTAATCAAAAATGAATTACAAAATAAATATCATTATAATGTGTTCAGTATTTATACTACTAAAATAATTGAGTAGTTTTTTCTCACTTAACCAGAGAATAATCTTCATATATATATATATACAATTCAAGAACACTTATCCAACACCTAACAAATAAAAAGAATAATCGTATAAATGCTTTTCCACATTTGTAATAACACTTCAAATAAAATGGTAAATGTGACGAATAGGTAAATGAAATCGAAATTAAAGTTTCTTACATACAAACAATAGTTATGCAAATATGAATTTACTTCTGGAATTAAGCAAATAAGCTGTTAACACGAATAGATGAAATACTCTAGTGAATGAATAGTATTTTTATATAAAAATATTGAATGGATTAGGATTACAATTTATTTGTAAAATGGGAACCATACAGTTCATAGTGTGATTTTTGACAATTAGACAGCAAGCAATATTGATATAATGAGATTCGAAGTTCTCAGGCTGTTTTGATTTTAGCTTACCATAAAATAGTACCGTAAAATTCATGAAATTTTAAATTATCCATTGAAACTTGACATCTTTTTCTATATTGCTGATAGAGATCGTTTCTTGAAAGTCCGACAATATCTTGGTTTTTCTATGAGATACATGGTACCTAAATTATTGGGTTCCCGTAAAAAAACGATATAAAAGTTTTTGAGTTTTCTATTCAATTTCTCTGTCTAATACCCATTGGGTATATACTAGTTATTTTTAGACAGTTTTTTTAATAATTATTTAATATGCTTTCAATTAATACAGTTGATAGCTTAAACGAGGTATTACTTAGAAATTACGACTAAATTCATAAAGTAATTCAAATATTTGCATAACTATTTTGTACAGCTTTTATGGAAAAGAACTAAAACCAATGAATATCTTATTTATAATAACAGACGACTTCATTCAGATACTCGATACATACTGGATATGTCATCATTTGATCAGACAATACTTGATCTTCGTATTGACCGTGTTCAAAGAGCAGACGAAGGTGAATATGTATGCTTATATTCAAATGGTCATACGGTTTATAAACAACGTGTTTACCTCAATGTACTCGGTAAGCTTTAGTATATTAAATTATTTGATGACTAAATCGCATTTGATAATATGAGAAAAAACCAATAGTTTGTTACAACCAACTAGATAATTCTCAAAGTTGACATTTGCTTTCCTGTATGGGTGAGATCATATTAAATGGAGATACACGATGAACTCCCTTAGGGAAGAGATGAACCACTTAAAATATACTCATCGTATAATTTCTTTCTCTTCATATACCATAGTTTCACCACAATTCTCTTCGAAGGCAACTAAATCTATGCGAGATTCAGAAACCTCTGTTCGAAACTACGTAACTTCCTGTCGCAGTGAATGTTGGCTAACCAATTTCAGTAGCCATGTTTTACCTCTTCAGAAAATAAGTATCCAGCTCTCATAGTACAAACACAAATTTCAAGTTTTCTAATATCTCATTATTATGCTGTACGCTACCACTTTTAAAACTTAGTAAGACCCGTACATATTTCATCTTTCACATATAACCTAGGTTATCCAGTGATCTGTGATTACTTTTATCTACTAAATAGTGTAGTTAATACTATACTTTCTTGACTGGATTTTATTCATATATTTCTAAAATCACTGAATATCAAACTTTACAAACATTTATACTACATAACAACTATCATAAACGCAATACTCTGAATTTTCAGATATCTAGAATAAGCGTATGTTTATTAACTGAACTCATAATGTTGCATATTGGTGAATTTTATGTGAAAATGCAACTTGTCTGAGTCAGGAAGGTCAAAATACAATCATATATAGTAGTACTCGGTTATCTGACTACTAATTATTATCAGTTCCGAAGTTTCTTACTTTATAAAAATTATTATAGGTCTACTTAAAATCCAGAAATGTATATAAATTTATAAATCTGATTTGTTTGAGCAACGTTTTCAAATATGATATTTACATGGTACTTTCATCACACACATTCCCATATAGTTTTAATATTTCATATGAACTATAAGTACCAAATAAGATACATCATTTACTCTTTATTTTCATAGTACCTCCGGTTATTTCTGAAAATAGTTCCAGCTCCACAAGAGTAACAGCACATGAAGGTGAGGCAATTATCTTACATTGCAAAGCTTGGGGAGTACCAGATCCTATTATTACATGGTATTTAACACCGAAAGAAGGACGTCAATATAGAATATATGAAGCAACTGACAAAAGTAAAATAAACATTTTAATATACCATATATAATAAATTCTGTTTATTTTCTTTCTATATAAATTTTATTCAAGATTAAATCAAATCACTTTAAATTAATAATTATAGTTTCCATTGATAACAGTTTGAAATAAATTTATATTGAAAGATAATGGATATACTTGGTCATTTGAAGCTAGAACACCGTGAAAAACCTGGGAGCACTAGACGGTCATTTTGTTCTATTGTGCGAATCCTCAGTAGTGTGCACCTACGATCCCGTCCCGCAGGATTCGAACCGAAGACCTATCGGTCTCACGCGCAAGCGCTTAACCTCTAGACCACCGAGCCGACCGGTGTTAATGTTTAACTTCAACCAATCCACAAAATTGAACCACCGTTCACCATTGTTTTCAGTGAATTACTATCTCACGACAGACCTGATTGTTTAATACAGTCCAGATTATCATTATATTTGAAAAATTAATTTTTCATGAATAATATAAAACATATATAGTGGTTAAGTTTGGAAGTGAAAATTGCAATTTATATAGATGGTTAGGGAAAACAAATATTAGTTGTTTTTGTGGATGACTGTTTACAGATTGATACCGGTAATTCATTTAAATTGATCTGTATATTAACCTACCATTTGTTTGCATGTAAAGGTTAGAAAGTAGTTTCAATAACTGTCTATTGATGATCAGTTGTCACTTATGAGAAAACGGGAACAAAACTACTAAACATTACAAATGTGATTAATATACACTATTGAGGACAATGAATCTTGTATTTAGTGTCTTGATGAACAATGATAAATAATCCCACATTTGGATTCATTTGATTGTCAACGAAGAGTATTTATAACATCATATATTCTCTTGTTTTGTTTGTAGTTTAGACTTCATCGTCAAAGCCAAAGGGTATAATCTTATCAAAAATTCCAATGTTCCTACTAGTTACTATAAATACTTAGAAATTTCCAATGCTTTTAATTTATCACTGCTATAAAGCTCAATTGACATTGTAGCATTCATAGCAAGGATAAAATATATTACGGTCCTTACCACGAACTACTCTATAGAATTACAAGCATAATTCAGTTAAATAGAAACTATTTTCCCAGTTATATTATATTACATATTATGTTATTAACAAAGACAAATATCTGACTCTTAAAAGTATAGATATACAATGTATAAAAACTAAGGTGCATTTGTTTCAATTGTAAACAATATTCGGAATTTAATCTACTGAGCATGTCTATCGTGAATTCGAACCATTATAATTGTAGGATTGTATAAGAAAAGTTTCAAAAGTCTGTTTAGACGCCCAACTTCGAGACCAACAGGCAGGATTCTGTAAGGATAGATCGTGTACAGACCAAATCGCAACTCTACGGATCATTGTGGAACAATCAGTTGAATTGTATTCATCACTCTACATCAACTTTATTGACTATGAGAAAGCATTTGATAGCGTGGACAGAACAACACTAGGGAAACTTCTTCGACACCACGGCGTGCCTCAGGAGATAGTCAATATCATACAGAATTCCTATGATGGATTAAACTGCGAAATCGTGCATGGAGGACAATTGACAGACTCGTTCGAAGTGAAGACCGGTTTCAGGAAAGGTTGCTCACTCTCACCCTTTCTCTTTCTCCTGGTGATCGACTGAATCATGAAGGCATCAACGTCTGAAGGGAAGCACGGGATACAGTGGACATCTAAGACGCAGTTGAATGATCTAGACTTCGCAGATGATCTGACCTTTCTATCCCAAATGCAACAACAAATGCAGGAGAAGACGACCAGTGTGGCAGCAGCCTCAGCAGCAATAGGTCTCAATATACACAAAGGGAAAAGCAAGATTCTCCGATACAACACAGCATGCACCAATCCAACCACAATTGACGGAGAAGATTTGTAAGATGTAAAAACCTTTACATATTTGGGCAGCATCATTGATAATTGCTTCTTTGATCCCCTTCCAGTTGCTCTCCATAGTAGTCCCTTCTCCATTGAGTAGGTCATGAAAGGCCTGGAACTTATTGCTGAGGACTATCTTGAATTTGTTGAGTTTGTCAGTGTCCTGAAGAAAGGCCGTATCGAAATTTTGTGATGTTGTTCGCCCCATTGTCCAGGGCTTCTTGAGTTTAAATTTCATCTTGGCGACCAGCAAGTGGTGATCTGATGCTATATCAGCTCCTCTCTTGGTTCTCACGTCCTCTATAGTCCTCCTGAACGTTTTGTTGATGCAAATATGGTCGATTTGGTTTTGCGTGGTGTGATCCGGTGAAGTCCATGTGGTTTTATGAATGCGTTTATGTGGGAATATGGTGCCTCCTATGACCAGTTTATTGAAGGCACATAGATTTGCAAATCTCTCACAATTTTCGTTTCTTTCTCCCAGTCCGTGTCGTCCCATGACGTCTTCATATCCAGTGTTGTCCGTTCCAACCTTGGCGTTGAAATCTCCCATTAGAATAATCAGGTCCTTTTTTGGGCACTTCTCGACGATTGACTGCAGCCTATCGTAGAATTGATCCTTAGCGTCTTCATTGTAGTCGTTGGTAGGTGCATAGCATTGGATGATGTTCATTGAAATACCCTCTTTCTTTGTTCTGAAGGAGGCTTTGATGATCCCTGGTCCATGAGATTCCCATCCTATAAGTGCATTTTGTGCTTGTTTGGACAGCATCAATGCAACTCCTTGTGTATGTGGTGCATTTTCTTCTTCATGGACGGAGTATAACAGAAGCTCCCCTGAAGCTAGTCGTTGTTGTCCAACTTGTGTCCAATGTGTTTCACCGATCCCAAGTACCTCTAGGTTGTATCTTCTCATTTCTGAAGCAATTTGGAAGGCTCTCCCGGTGTCCCACATTGTACGAGCACTCCATTTACCTAAATATATGGTTGCTCTGGTTGTCAGGACCAGCATCAGCCCCGTGACTTCCGAAGGAATTCGACTTTCATCATGAGGTGTCATAGTTCTTCTAAATGAAGACCTTCTGACTTTCAAGGCAGAGTTTAAAAGGTCTGGATAATTTTTCCTGGTTGGCGTTGTTTTAGCGAGTTAGTTTTCTACAGGATGTGGTCGCTAACCCCATGCCCAACCCTCCTCCTTTATCCGGGCTTGGGACCGGCAGTAACCCCCGGAGGGACTCCATGCGGAGTTGCTTTTTAGTTAGCTTTGGATTAAAATATATGTGTGATTAATTGGTGTACCTCTTAAGACATAAATAAGTAGTCCGTATCGTTTTCAATAATTTTGATGAACAAATAATTAAATTTCCGATACATATTCGATTAATTTCAACAAATAATTTGGAACATTTACAAAGAATTCTTTGTTTGCTTAAAACTGAAGCCGCTGATCTTCGGTCTACCATTTTTAGTAGAATTTCATTAAGATCATGAACCGATCCATTTTAGACCGCCATCGAAACCCTGGAAGGACTGGATGGTCTTTCTGTCCCAGTAAGGAGCTCCTTCGCAGTGCGCATCCAAGATCCCTCAAGCGGGATTCAAACCGAGGACCTACGGTCTAACATACATAATCTTAAACTTCATACAACTGTACTAGCTGGTATCCAACGGTGTTAAAATCTGACCTCAATCAATTAACGATATTGCGCGACCATCCTCCAGGTTTTTGATGATGGTCTAACATTGTTCGGTTCATGATCTCAGTGAAACTTAGCAATCTCCAAAACTATGTACTGTAGTAGAACTGTTTATATTATTGATGAGCATTTGAAAATTATTTGAAAATTAACTAAATGTTTTGTACTTTAATTTATTATATTTTACCTAAAGGATTCATGATTAAACCGAATGAGTTAATTATTTCAAATATAACTCGTGATTTGCAAGGAACTTATAAATGTTTAGCACAAAATGGCTTAGAACAAAACGCATGGCGTGTAATAGAGCTCGATGTAAGATGTAAGTAATAAATGTATGTTTATACATGTTTGTTAAAAAATTAAATTTCAAGTATTCTGTCAACTTTACTATTAAAAAATTTTTGGAACTGTAGAGATATTTCACTAATCAAATATGGTAAGCATAGTATTAATAACAGGAATTATAGAACTAAAATTTTATACTTAGGCGTAATTATCGAATCTGTTTTGATAGCAAAGAAAGTTATTTGTGATCAAGACTTATGTAAACCTGATTATGCTACTAATTTGTGATAAGTAGCATGAAGTATTATTTCCATAATTCCTATAGTATCATGAAAAGAATGAGTAAAGGAATTTTTTTCAATTAGTTTTCTATCATATATATATATATATATATATATATATATATATATATATATATATATATAATTCTCACATATGTGCATCCTGTGCGGATTGCCTCCATATAGCCTCAAGTCACAGGCTTTTTAATCAAAGACGGATATTGGCTAGCGGTGGAATCCAGGACGCGCGTTTCGTCCTATTTGGGACTCGTCGGCTGGATGTACGTGCATCGCAAAGTTGATGTTCGCTTCGGGACTCGAACCCAGGACCGTCTGCTTCAAACACCATCGCGTTATTCTCTTAGTTACTGAGTGCTGATAGCCACCTACTTGTGCAATGGGGTGAAGTTTAAATTCACTTGGTGTTGTTTTACTTGTATCTTCCCATTTTTATTTAGGACTGCAATTGATCAGTCTCATTGAGTAGTTCCGTTATGCAACAACTATGTAGCATCACAGTGTTTATAAAGTAATGTTGAGCAATTGGAGGAATAATTACTTTCATTATATATATATGAGACATGATAGTAAACTGATTGAAAAGAAATTTCTTCCTTCTATTCACTCTATTTACTAAATATCGAAATGAGTAGTATAAAAGCTCGTGAAATATTTAGTGATAATTACAGCAGAGAGTTATAAGATTAACTATTACCACTTTTGATTCTATGCTCAAATGAAATATAAAAAACTAACAGCGGTATTACAACTTTAAAAAATCATATTTCTGAACTTTGATAGACGAAACATTAGTCACAATAGGTACTAAATCAATGGTTTCTGTTGGACATAATCATTATATTAAGTGTTAGATGAACAACACAAATAATGCATGACTTAGTGTGGCAGTATCCTTCCGTCAAATGATTATACTGAAAGGGATTTATCCCAAAAGAACATTATTAAAATAGTGTACATGTAATTCGGGAAGTACAGGGAATTTTCAAAAAGGTCAATATGTATCTGAAAGAAGATAAAAAATAACAAACAACTACAAATTACTTACATAACAATTGGGAATCAGTATTATTATACAATTAGTATTGTTTGTTCCGTGTGTCATCGTAAAACTATAGCCATCTTCTCTTTCGTCAATAATATCAAATGGAAGTTTAATATATCATAAATTTTAGTTGAGTTAGGGATATTGATATATCAATAGTTCTGTTAGATAAATGTTTTTGTATCTTTCTGACTTATATTGTTATCATAGTTAAAATATTGACTGGCATGAAACATAAATGTTTATGCATGTATCTAGAGTTGGCGTAGAATGACGCAGTGTTTTAACTTTGTTTAATCTGGAAAATACATTTGAAATTATGCAAGAATTTTTATCATTCTAGATCCTCCAACTATTGAAATGGCCAATCTCAAGCTTGGCCAACTACTTAAAGGCACGACAATGGTACGAGCTGTGATTTCTGGCAATCCAATTAATTTATTTTACTGGGAATTTGAAGGAAGGCCAATACATGGACCCAATAGTAATTGTCTCGTACCGATGCCGAATGAAAAATATTGTATCCTTGTCGGTAAGTAGGGAATTAATTCAAAAGTGTGTTTTCATTAATTCGTATTAGTAATCCATTCATCATTGTAGTGTGTAACTGGAATTAAATTCTATTATCCGAAATGTGTTATGGCAATTTAGGATACGGTGTGCTGAAGGATAAATATGACTGAAATTTCACCCTTACCATTAAAACAACACCATCCCAAAATGCTAAATTTAGTACGATATTTAAATTTCATTACTCAGAATATATTCACTTTATTTGGTTAAAATATACAAAAAGTAATATTTATAGCTCTCAAGTAAAGAGTACTAAGCATGTACTGAGACTACTTTAAAACTGTCATCTAGATGTAGCTGTATTCAACATTGCACCTCAAATAGTACTAAAACTTGGTTTACAGAGCTTAGAAAAGAGAAGCATTCCGAATAGAGATGGATAGTGGCTAGCGGTGAAATGAATGAGGCGCTTCACGCACTGTTTAGGGGCTTGCCAGATAGACAGATTTATGTCCCAGAGTTGTCGTCTCTCCGTGACTCAAGCTCAATGGCTTTCGCTACAAACACCTATGTTTTATCCACTCAGCTACAGAGTTCACATAGACGCTAAATTTTAAAGTTGGGTGAAGTTTAATTCATTTGTATTGATTGCTCGGATCTTACTACCGATGGTTTGGACAGCGACTGATCAGTCACTTTTGACACCCCATTGCAAAGCCAAAGGATATCTGGAATTATTAGCTTCATGGATACCACGTCAATGTTTAAAGCAAAAGGATGTGATTTCGATTCCTGGGATGAACATCAGCAGTGCGATCTAAGTAAATCCAGATGACGAGTTCCAAATACAACGAAATACACGTCATTGATTCCACTGCTATCCACTATCCATCTCTGTGACTTGATCGAAGCAATTCATATGGGATGGCCATGTGCTAATAAGAGGCTGGTTAATTACTGTATTAAAAATCAAAGAGATGATTCGAACAACCAATACAGGTGATGAAGAACATACTATTTCAGTTTTTTTAACTAGTGAGTACATATAGCAATATACTGGTTTGTTTTTAAAAAACTAAATAACCATGGACCATTAGTATTGGTGTCATCAGATTATTTCCAGAATCAGCTCAAATTTTAGATAATTTACTTATGTGAATAAGAAAATAGGTGATAAGTTTTTGTTTAAATAACGTTTTCATTTGTAATGTATACTGACAATTCAATGTTATATTCAATATTCAACTTGATGAGGATTGAATATAGTCATTCAGTCGTTCAATAAACGTTGTTCATGAGTAAGCGTGGTCATGATCTGAAGCCGAAAATACATACTTACTTTGCTTTTATTTTGCACAATTAGATAAATAGTTGAAGTTAACTGTTAATTAAATAGAGAATGCATATATGTTTACTATTTATAAGACTATTTGTGTGTTGTTTTTATAAGCTTCTGTGGCGTGTGCTACTGATATCGATAGATATAAGTAGTATGTATCATCAATCGGAAGTGAAATACCTGGTGGTAGAAGGTTAAGAAGATCAAAGGAAAGAGAACGAGAATGGAGAATGATTGGTGTGAAAACGAATGGGCAATGAAGTCTGAGACGATTGATTGACGTTTTCAAATGAAGTATTTACCGTATGGTTCTCATATTTACTAAAATATTCTGTAATTTTGTATTCGAATAAATTCGATTTTCCCCAGTTGTGTTCTTGATCGCTACACTTCAACCGTCAACATTAGTAGTGATAGTGTTTTATTATAACTCTAGACATAAAACAGTTACTATTTTATGTCCAATTAGTTCGTAAATGCACTTTCACAGAGAATTATATTCAAAGACAACAGAAAAGCGGTCAAGAATCAAGTTTAAATTTTGTAAGTAAGAATCTTGATTAACTAAAAGTTTTATTTATGGAGGTCAGAACAAATTTTTAGTAGATTATTAAGTGTTAATATTCCGGCATTAATACTGTAGTGAACGACAATACAACTGGGGAAAATCGAATGTATTCGAATACAAAATTACAATTTCTCTTAGTAAAATCGGAGAACCATACAGTAAATATTTCATTTGAAAACGTCATTCAATCGTCTCAGACTTCATTGCCCATTCGTTTTCACACCAATCATTCTCCATTCTCGTTCTCTTTCCTTTGATCTTCTTAACCTTCTACCACTAGGTATTTCACTTCCGATTGATGATAAATACTAATTATATCTATCGATATCAGTAGCACACACTACAATACTACACCAGGAAAGTTATTCATTGAATACTATCAATAGAAAAATTGTTCCAAGTTTGAAATATTCATATTTTTTCCTAATGATATCATAAATAATATATTTCAATTTCTTATGGATTCAATATGACTTGTTAACGTTAGCTTAAAATCGAACTGAAAGAGAGCGAGAGCAAGAGAAGGCGAGAAAATGCTATAAATCAATAACTGTTCAATAATATTTAACAAATAAATCAGTGAAATTTGATTGATTTATACTATTAAAATTGAAATCAGTAATATTTGGACAATTTAAACTCGGTATTTACAAATAAAATCGTCGAAAAAAACCAAACGGATCATTATTTTAATTTGATATAATTCCTTTATCATACAATATACGTTTCAACTCACAATCAAAATATTCCAATAATATGTAGATATACTTATCGACATTCACTAATACATTTCTATAGTTTACACATTTTACATACATAAAACTAACCGATAAGTTATAATTAAGTAATTGATAATGATCATAATCATTAGCCTTAATGAAAATTGTAAAATAAAGTGACATTTTTCATAAATTCATTGTTAACTAATTATTTCAATGTATTCTCATATTTTCAAAAAAATATAATTAAGATTACAATATTTGAAATTAATTGAAATGATTTCAATGAACAGATAGATGAATAGATAGATAGATAGATAGATAGATAGTAGTAGTAGTGTTAGTAATAGTAATAGTAATAGTAGTAGTAGTAATAGTAGTAAGACAAGTTAATTGATAAACAAACTAATGGAATGCTCCACAAACTATTTATTAAATTAACCTAATTTTGATGAAATTGTATACATCTATTGTTTATATTTGTAAAAATGTATTCAAGTATCGATTGTATACATGTTTACAAATGACTTAAATAAATAAAACCATATGAATTAAACTTCGAAAAAATGAATAATTATTCATTTTTAGAAGGAGTTTTGTGGAGATTTTAGAAATTTCAATAGTTGAAATCATGAGTCAATTGAAGCTAGACCACTATGGGAAACCTGAAAGCACTGGACGGCCGCTTAGTCCTAGTATGGAACTCCTCAGCAGTGCACATCCTCCAATCCCGCTTCCGCGGCTTCCTACTAGAAGCCGTTATCAGTAGACGTCAACCAGGTCTGTTGTGAGATATCAGCTCACTGAAGACAATGGTTTACGGTGGCGCAACTTTGTGGATTATTTGAAGTTAGACATTGACACCGTTGGATGCCGGCCGGTCGGCTCAATGGTCTAGTGGTTAAGCGCTCGCGAGACTGATAGGTTCGAATCTCGTGGGGGCGGTGTCGTGGATACGCACTGCCAAGGAGTCCCATACTAGGACGAAACGGCCGTCCTGTGCTTCCAGGTTTTCCATGGTGATCTAGCTTCAACTGACTCATGATTTCAACTACTGAAATTATTCATTTATTCATTCACTTATTTAAAAGTAATTAAATTAGTATTAACAAGTTTGAGTAAATGAAATTCTATAAGGAATAACAAAATGTAATAAATAAGGTATTTCACCTTATGGAATACATTTTATAACAAAATATGAGTAAAAATATATGATCACTTTGAATCTGAAGTGTAATTATGTTAACAATTAACAAACAAGCTTCAATTTTCAGTATTTTATACACCTTTGAGATCAGATCTGAATCTTTTAAGATATGTAGTGTCAATATTTAGAAAAATCACTTAGATCACAGTTTTCTGCTGATAGACTACTGTTAGAAGCTTACTCTTTTTGTTGACAGTGTGTTTTTAAAAAAATATATGGAAATTAGTCAGTGAATATCATATAGAAATACTGATGTAGTGAAGCCTATCATAGCAACAATGTTGAAGGTTAAATAACCCGTTGGCACTCTCTAACCCAATACTTTCTACTCAATTATAAAACATAAAAAACAGATATACCTGGTTGTAACTGCTTTTCTCCTTTAGTACTATTTTTAACCGACTGATCAATCATTTCATGCAAGTGACTATGGATTATTTCTATATGCATTCTGATATCATTCAGGTTACCATAGGCATCTTAAACTATAAGATTTATTTTCGGGAGACTCTCTGGTGTTAAGTGTTCTACCTAGAGCTTAGTTTCTTGCTATGCCGCGTACTACTTGAGCACTCCAACGTCAGAACCCTCCGAAGTTGCGAGTGAGAAGAAATGTTATTCCAAAGTGTCAAATATGGTGCGAAATTCTCAGGTATTTATAGATTTTAGTAAAAAGAAAATCATCATTACAGTCATCTAATCAGCGTGCAGTGGTTTTTAGCATTTGTTCAATCGAGAGGCTACACGTCAAGATTCTGGAATGTTCTTCCAAAAGATGATTGAATGAAATGTCTCCGGCTCTTTATGAGCGTCTTAGAGCTTCCTTGAATTCACCCGGGAGCCGTTCTCACATTTAGAAGTCGTCAGTTCTGTTTGCCTGGACTCTTGTGTTTATGCTTATATCTAAATTTATAGTCTGCTAATTTTTTTCTTCACCCCGATGCAACAAAGACAAATCATGTAACAATGTTACTTGTAGTCAGAATAATAATAATAAGTCCATATTTATTTTATGATTTTGCTTTCACTCATTTCTTTCTTGTTTGTTTTAAGACAAAGCAAATTCTAAACATGGAATAATCAGAACAACTTTGTTTATAGCTAATTTAACTATGGCTAATTATGGTTATTATACATGTGTAGTTGAAACACCGTTTGGTACATTTCGCAATAGTACAGAAATATTTAGTAAGTTTTCAATTATTCAGTTTATTTTTTAACCTTTTGTCAGTCATATTATTTTAAATGTGCAAATTAGAAATTTCTTAGCTTCTAAGCATTTCTGAGGGATATAACCTAAGTTAAATATTTTCAGTAGTTGAATTCGTAGGTCGATCTAAGCTAAACTACCATTGAAAACCTGGAAGTACTGGACGGCTCTTTCGTCCTAGTATCAGACTTTTCGCTGGTGCTCACCCGAGACCCCTCACGTGGGACTTAAACCCATTGACTTCGGTCTTGCGTGCAAACGCCTAACCTCTAGGCCACTGAGCCGACATCCAACGGTGTTAATGTTTAACTTCATTCGATTCATGATGGTGGTCTAACATAGGCTTATGGATTCAGCTGTTAAAATTACTACAATCTCCACAAATCCCCATTCTTAAATTATTTCATTTCTCGATTATGAAAATGAGTCTGTCAATATCCCAGAAGAGGGTTAAAAACTTATTATAGATGGTAGGTCAACATAAGATATGATTGTGTCATTTAGGATAATAAATCAATCACGAGTGACAAAACTAGTAGAAAAATTATCGAATAGTTAAGTTTGTAAGTTGTTCTACCGAGACTATGTAAGGGTTAATTAATACCCCTAAGTGAGTATATACAATAAATCTGATTTTAACATAGAAGTTTTAAGCGGCTTACTTCGAGAATGACAATAACGAGTTTAAGTGTCTGACAAGGTGATTGAATAACATCACTCAAAGTTTTGAGATTAATAGATTGATCACTTTTATCTGTGATCATTTGTGAAATTTTCAAAATTTGTTTAAGTCATATCTTCACAATAGATAGAGTGCCAGTTAAGAATGAAGTCAAATCTATATCTAATCCCTACATGGAATAAAGACAATGAGATTTACCGGAAGGTAGCTTCAATGAATAGTTACACCAATACCATTTTGAGTAAACAAATTAGTGTATCTTGATCTGGATCGGGTCTAGAATTCGTAAGCACAAATTGATTAGGCTTTCATCTATTGAGTTCCTTAATTTTACCTACTTCTACAAATTAAGCCATTTACAACCATGTAAATAGTTTTCAGATAATTCTGTGTAGGTAAATTCACAGGTTACAACAAGCTATAACCTATTAACCTGAACTAAGCAACCAGTAGAAACCAAAACAAACTGAACGACTATTTCCTCCTAATATGGGACTCAGCAGCGCTAACTCACGACCATACAAAGGGTCTACCTCAAGACTCTCAGGTCTCTCTGTGAGTGCTTTACTTTTAGAGTTGGTATCTAATGGTTTGCACTGATAACTTTAATTAATCCCCGCACTTCTGAGAAGTCCCATACTAGGGTGAATCAACTGTCCAGCTTTTCATGGTTTTCAAATGCTGTTTGGCTAAGGTCAGACTCTAATGTAGACTATAAAACTCAACACTGTCCAAGAACTCATAATGTTAACAGAATGGAAATGTTATCTATGGCAATATGTCTGTCTTAGCAGTTTCATATGATGTTATCTCGTGATCAAAATGAACTTCAAAATTAACAAAATTCTCTATAGAACTACCTTAATTAATATAACCCCACATGCTTGTTGTATTTTAGATAGATGTCATGTTTACTGTTTGACCTATTATTAGTTAAAGTTGTCAATCCAGTTTATCTAGCATACTACTCAATCTGCAAATAAATATGTTAACATTGAGTAATTGGAAGAAAGAG